AGATTTGGCATTTTCTTTTTTTAAAAAAAAAAATCTCAAACCCCTCCTTTTTCCTGTTCCTCGAAGATCTGTCGGCACTCAGAAATGTGGCGGGGTTTAGGAACCTTGTCCCGGGCGGGCGAAACGCTCGGTGGCTATTCAGAGCAATGGTTTGCTGGCTGCTAAATGACTGCAATGCTTATTTTTGCAAGGGGGGGCATGGGGTACCTTTGGGGACAGCCAATAACCCCCCCCCCCTTTCACCTTAGAAGTTCAGGCTCTTATCTTGAGAAATTAATCTGTCCTTTGACACGGCTTGCAGACGACGTTCCTTTTAAAGAGCTCCCCTCTCATTTTGTTCCATCTGTTTGCAATTTATAATTCTAGTTGCAGTTGACTTTATTAGCCTTCCTCTTTCAGAGTGGGGTCCCCCCCCCCTTGATCCCTTGTGCCTGGCTCTGCAAAAATTTGCAAGATTCCCAATGGCCAACATGTCCTCCTCCTCCCCTCATCAGCTTCATCATTCCAAAATCAAGTCCTTTTACATCTGATTTCCCAAAAGCCACTTCCGGGGGTGGGGGTGGGGGAGCAGTGATTGCTGCTCCAGGGTTGAAACTTTTTTTTTTAATTTTATTTTTTTATCGATCGGGGATTTGGGTCTTCCTGGGTGTTGCAGCCCCGCCTTCATCCTGGTTTCCCGGTCCATATTTTAAAAAACCCGAGCAGCAGTGAAACTCGAGTGCCCTTAAAATGAAAACCCACAGTGAAAAATGCATAATTCAAAGGCATCCGAAACTGAGAAGAAGAGAAGGAAATCAGCTCTTAGGTAGCAAAAGTTGCTTTGAAAGTTGATGCAGGCTTTTTTTTAAAATCTGTGTTAAGAAATAGCTATTGCAGACAGACACCAGGCCAGAGTCCTTCAAATATTGATGGAGACAAGAAATTGGGCTAGATTTACACTAATCTGCATATTTCTGTTCTCAGCGTGCAACTCTTTCTCTTTCCCCTTGCCTTTCTTCCCCCGTTGCTTTTTCAACTGTTTGAAATAGTTAATTTTGAAATAAAAAAATATATATAAAAAGTGACTTTACGTGGCAACCAGCTGTGTGCAATGCATCTTCTCCTTTCCAAGCCACGTGCAGAAGGCTTTGCTCGCAGGGGTTCAGGATTTGGAGATATGCCTCGTGGCATTTACGAGCAGACTGGGGGCCAAGGCTAATCATGTTCTGCATTTCAAGGGTTTGGCCTAGACTAACAACATTTTGCATTTCAAGTGCTTGGCTGGGATCTGCTACAAGTAATCCTGAACAACAGCCCTGTAGAGTAGAGCAGGTTAGGCTTGTGTTTTCCATATTGCAGAGGTGTTGAGAGGGATCTGCCCTCTCTATGAAGGTGGGAAAAAATGATAAGGATGCTGTTGGACTGCTATCCTATCAACTGTGACTACCTGCTGGCTGGGGAAGATGAGTGTTAGAATCCAGCCCCTGGAGAGCTACGGATGTCTCACTCCTGGCCTGAAAGCTTTTGGTGAGTCTGCAGCAGGACTGGTCTTTGCACCCTGGATTTCCCACTTTTAACCAATGTGCCACTGCCGATTCCTCTGTCTCCTGTGTTGGTGGCAGATATCCATCCATCCATCCATCCATCCATCCATCCATCTGATAGATGGATGGATGGATGGATGGATATAGGTAGATGACATGGATGGATAATCATCCAGTGATCCATCCATCCATCCATCCATCTGATAGATGGATGGATGGATGGATGGATATAGGTAGATGACATGGATGGATAATCATCCAGTGATCCATCCATCCATCCATCCATCTGATAGATGGATGGATGGATGGATGGATATAGGTAGATGACATGGATGGATAATCATCCAGTGATCCATCCATCCATCCATCCATCTGATAGATGGATGGATGGATGGATGGATATAGGTAGATGACATGGATGGATAATCATCCAGTGATCCATCCATCCATCCATCCATCTGATAGATGGATGGATGGATGGATGGATATAGGTAGATGACATGGATGGATAATCATCCAGTGATCCATCCATCCATCCATCCATCTGATAGATGGATGGATGGATGGATGGATATAGGTAGATGACATGGATGGATAATCATCCAGTGATCCATCCATCCATCCATCCATCTGATAGATGGATGGATGGATGGATGGATATAGGTAGATGACATGGATGGATAATCATCCAGTGATCCATCCATCCATCCATCCATCTGATAGATGGATGGATGGATGGATGGATATA